CATGACACAAACAAGTGCCAGTCTCAGGTTTGAACCTAAACCTTTTGATTGCTACATAATCAGTTACCTTTCATTGACAGTTTCATCTTCTAACTGTAGCACTCTCGCCTTTAATTCATCATTCTTTTCTTTTTGTTCTTCCAGTTGTTTGAAGAGTCGACCAACATATTGCTCTTCCTTCAATTCTTTTAATTCTTTGGCTATAAATAATTTAAATATAATTACGATGTCAATACCAGATACCATCAAATATAAATAAATTAACAATAACAAGATAATATCCTATTCAACAAGAGTAATTTTCAAAATTTTCATCTAAATACTGATAACAGTTTGTATGGGAATAGTACAAGATATACTGGGTAATTCAAAAAAGGGAGATTTCAAAAAAGATTTCAAGTGCTTGCAGAAAGTATTACAAGCCACAATTCTGATGAAAGTAATTGATTTTTATCTGCTTGTGGAAAGTACTACAGACTGAAATTCACTCACTTAGTTTTTGATTGGTAATAATTGTGGCAACTAGCTGTTCTTGTAGATTTGACAGTTGCATTTCAAAGACTTCTTTATCTTCAAAATGATGCCAATCTGCTACAAACTAGTGACAAAAATGTAAAATCTGTAACATACATATTACTCTCACTATTCATGGTTCAAACAACTAATAAACATTACTTGTGAATTTAAACACAAACTATAATCAAACAATAATTAATAATAAATGATTATGCTTTGCATATTCATGAATAAAAGCTAAGTTTAAGTAATCACATTTGGCAATACTATTTGGCTACAGGACAGGGTAATGAGTAAACACTGAACTTTTCAGATAAAGGACAGTTAATAATTGATTTCAATGGATTATGAATGTTTAATTTTCAGTTTGACTACCATCTGCTCTTGTCAGTAATTTATATAGATCCTATTTGTAAATTTTTTAACAATTTTGGGCATTGCTATATTAAGTATATCCCATCTTATTGATATAATATTTGTAATTATTTTATGTAAATTATATTATTATACACTGTATGTTAAAATTATGTTGCTTTACGGTATCATATATTCATATTCACAGAAATATGTGTGTGAAGTTTTTGTAAAGTGAGATTATGCATAATTATTTACACTATAGAGTAATTTATGATTTATGTTTGGTAATATAGTTAATCTTGTTTGTTTTTTACTTTAAATAAACCTTTGTTATTTAAAGATCCTTTATTTTGTTTTTCTTAGTTCTTTTTGTATTTTTTCTTGGTTATGACAGTTACTA